CACCCACCCCCCGCAACTTCTTTTCTGTGCCGGGCCCCCTCTGTCTTGACGATCCTTCTTCAGTCCCTCCTCTTTCCCGTGCAATCCCTCCTTTCTCGCTGCGCTATCCATTTGCTCCTCCTAATCAGCTTTGCAGTTCGCGTGCTCCTCGGCACTTCTGACCAGGGCATCTCTAGCGCGGCATCCGAAAGGTCGCACGCTGGCGGGTGCGCTCGCCGGCTCGCTCTCACCCCACCCTCTTCCATTAGTTGGGTCCCTTAATCAGCGCTGTCCAATCAGCCCAGTTGGCTGCCAGCAGCTCTTCAACCTTGTCCTCAACTTTGAACCTGGAGGTTTGCGAGTCAAGGAGGTTGTTAGAAAGGGCTCTCTCACGTGGCGCCCCTCTTCCTTTGAATCTCGGGGTAGGTGTTTTGCAAGTTAAAGTGGCATTTGGTGAGTGACTTGTGCCCAGAAGCTGTTGGGTTTGTTCCCCGCAGCTTGCCAGCCTCCTCCTCCCCAACACTCTTTCGACCCCCCTTCCCCGCACCTGCTCTTTCTCTTCCTACCTCTCTCTTCACCTTCCTCCTTCTAGGTGCTAGCTCTTCTTTTTTTCTGAGTTCTGCATGGCCGTCTCTTCCACTGGAAGAAACCTGTCAGGTGGAGTGAGGGTAGGGTCACCCAGACTATTCTGCTGAGCTTGGGTCACATGCTGTCAGTCATGTCAGCATATCTATGAGTGAGAAGGTTAATTTGAATGAATGAATGAATGAGTGAATGAATGGGAAATCGCCTTACTTTACTTAGCTTGTCCCCAACTCTAGTGCTAAAAAATGTGACCTGTGGTAGGTGAAATCTCTAGTTCCTGTCCTGTAACATTCGAACGTCCCTTCCAGCTTCTGTGTTCTGTGGGCCATTTCATTCATTCAAAAATGTATTTCCTGCATGTCTGCTTAGTGCCAAGCACTCTTCTAGGAGCAGAGGAAGACCCTTGCCCTCATGGAGTTTACATTTTAGTGCTGGGAAGACAGGAATCTGATTAAAATATACAAATGGTGCTTAATGTCATGGAGAAAAATAAAGGAGGAAGGTATAGAGTGCTGGTGGGAGAAGGTGGTGCAGTTTTAATCTGTGGTCAAGCGTCCCTCCTTGAGAAGTTGACCACTGAGAGCGAGAAGGTGAAGGAGGTGAGAGGCTGAGCCTGACATCTGGGCGAGGAACAGTAGTCGTAAAGCTCTGGAGGTCGAAGTGACCAGGACAAGTAGTAGGAATGAAGCTAGAGAACTCTGGGGTCAGAGAAGCCAGCTGCTAAGGCAAACCTTTTATGTCAATATGTGGGTTTATCCACCAATCTGCCCCAGGAAGATGGTAGACTCCTTTTCCTCCCCTTCTAGAATTCCCCATCTGGTCTCTGTGAGCAGCTATCTGGGTGGAAATGAGGGAAGTGCCCAACTAGTTATGTCCATGTTTCAAATTTCTGCCGGTTGGGGCTTTTTTGTTCATTGCTTTAATGACAAAGTTCTGCTCATGTGTATTTAGTTGCATTTTCTGGAACCCTATCTTTTTTACACCTGGTTCATTTTTGTCCTCCCCTGCTCCCATTTACCAGTCCCCTCTCCACGATTCTGGTCTCTCTAGCCATGATTCCATTTGCTTCTTAATTTTGGGATAAATGAAACTCCTGGGATGGTCATTTGATATCTTTTCCCCTGATTTCTAAGTGACAGGAGAGTTTGATTTTCTAATTTCCTAGCCTGTTATCAAGGGATGGTTTCCTGGATGGCTGGAAGAGTGCTGGATGGGTTCATTTATGACCATCTGAAGTGGTATGCTGATGACAGCACCTAGTGCTTAAAGGCCATAGGGACCATCAGTGACATTGGCTGTGTTTTGGGAGCAGTGCCATCTTCTAGTGTGTGAGCAGAGGAGCTGGAGAGAGTGGTTTTGCTGCTCTTATGAGTTTTTCTTTGGAAACTAGAGGGATGTCTGGCACATGCCTGGCACAGCAAGGAGCACTGAGGATGCATGAGGTTTTTGGAGTAAGTACTGGAATCAAGATGGGAACACTAGGGGAACATTGTATAATAGGTAGACAGCTTCTTACCTCCAATTCCCAAATCCAAAATCTCTCAACATTGGAAAATTTGTTTGGTAACTTGTTTGGCAGCAAGACCTGGCCTGACCTGGCCTTATCTGACCCGAACTGACAGGAGGCTATTTGCAATTTTCTTTTTGCCCTCAAGTGTGAGTAGTCATGTAGTCCCCTGCAGAAATATTAGTGTATTTGATTAATGGGGGGGGGGTCTTATATAATACATGGTGTATGTTTTCTAAAATCTGAAGATATCTGAATTCCGCAACTCAGCTGGTCCCAAGCATTTCAGGAAAAGAATTGAGGACCCACATGCTAAAAGTAGTAACTTGAGGGAAGGAAGGACCAATCGTTTTGAAAGGGAAGAGGAAAGAAAAGCAAGACACCTGTTTATTTTAGAGTCACGGTAATTAATACTAGTGACTAATTAATACTCTTAAATATAGATGAGGTATCTCCCTTTTATAATATCTTTGCAACCCTTCTGGGAGGTTAGGAGGAACCATTCAGCAGATGTAAAAACTAAAATCCCCAGAAGGGTTAAGTAATTTACTCAAATTTGTACACTCAAGCTCGCTAGATGCACTCACTCTGTTCTTTCTCCCCAGATGAACTCCACAAAGGCAAGGATGCACAGGCTGCTGCCAAACCCAGTGTGAGGTTCAACTTCCGCACCTCTGAGGACCCAGAACATGAAGGATGCTACCTCTCCCTTGGCCACAACCAGCCCCTAGAAGACTGTGGCTTCAACCTGACAGCCAAAACGTTTTTCATCATTCATGGATGGACGGTGAGCCCGAGGGAGGGAGCTCTGCAGCTTTACACAAGATTTGGTTTCCTTTGTTTTGGTCAATTAGAAAGAATACTGGTGCTTCCAGATTCTACTCTCTTTCCCCTTCTTTTCTTGTGGGCTGCTTGTATTTTCGACAGCTGTGAAGAATGTAATGGGCACTTCGCTGAGGGGGCAATCTGGACTCCAGCAGGGTGGTATTTAGTGCTGGCACACAGGGCTTTCAGAAAGTGGCTCTCCTGAGGGCAGCAGCCCAGCTCCATTGGCTCTTAAGGACCCCTCTAATTACACTTAATTACATTGGTCAACCACTGCCTCACGGGGGCCATCCCTCTGTAAGAGCTGAGCTGAAATGAAGCAACTTGACTGGCTCAGAGAATCTATGAAAAGCCAGCTGGCCTGGCTTGCTGGCCGCTGTTGGCATGTTGCCCTCCTGTTTGCATAGAGATGGCTCCGTTTAAAGGCATTGGGGCTCTTTATGTGCCCTAGCTGAGCAATTCACATTGAAAGACCCATGACAAACTTCCACAGAATAGGGCTTTAACACCCAGCCTCAGAAGCTTTTGACCAGCGAGGGATTTATTCATTCATATAATGACAGTCTGTAGGAAAGTAGCACTATTAAGTGAACAGGTTTCTGCCTGGGCTAATTGGGAGGGGACATTTCTTCTCTTAATGATGAGAAATTCATATCCGTTACACGCTTTCTAGGTCTTTAGGTCTCTCACCAACTGTTGGGGTCAGGCCTGGAGCGGTGAGGGGTTAGGTGCCTACCTACCTAATGTGATTGAAGAGAAGATTAAAAGCCTGTCTGTCCACTGTCCATCTACCCTCACTCCACAGCCCATGATTAGAATTATGCGTTTGAACCTTTTTAAGGCCCCCTGTCAAAATGCAAATACAAACTGCCTGCAACTTACAAGTGGGTTGCATTCCAGAAAGTTCTTTTGTAATCTGTTTGGAACATGGAACAGCCGTTTCCCATAGAAGTGAGATTGTAAATGGCATTTGGGTTCCCAGGCCAGGAACAGAAAATCTATTTATCTAATAATTTACTTGTGGATAGGTTTACAACTAGACTTTGTCACCATTTATGCTTTGTTTCTGTGGGAAAATGGTGTTCTGAGTTCTAATTTGGCATTCCTGGGCGAGATCTTCCCTACTCTGGGATCAAGAGGGATGGCAGAGATGGGTTGTGAGAAGGGGTCATTTGTTAACTCTGGGTTTGCCTAGCAGACAGATCTCCCTGCATCTCCAACAGAGAAACTAATTCTCCACGGCAACCCTTCCCAGCCGCCTTTGAATGATGGAGCAGGCCACTTGCCTGACTATGATAGGGACTTAGGCTGACCACAGGTCAGTACTGCCACCAATGCATATCTCACTGTGGCCCTATCGGACAGCAGGGCAGCAGCTATAAAAGTTCTGATTGGAAAACCTGGGGATATGGAAGACACATATCCATGCATTGGGTTGTCGGAAAAGTTATGATGCATTTTTGCTACGAAAAACATAGAAAAAATACATCATGACTTTTCCGACAACCCAACAGAAATCCTGCGTGTGGCTGGCCCTGCTCACGTGCAAATGTTTGGTCTCTGATCAGTCACTATAAAGGCTCTGGAATCTGCTGGGAAGAGGGTCATGGGACTGAATTCCATATTCATTAGGGTTTCTGAAACCCAGAGAATAATTTTTTTTTCTTTTAAATCCTGTTTTCTCTGCAGATGAGTGGCATATTTGAAAATTGGCTGTTCAAACTCGTGTCAGCCCTGCAGACACGAGAGAAAGAAGCCAATGTCGTGGTGGTTGACTGGCTCCCCCTGGCTCACCAGCTCTACACAGATGCTGTCAATAACACCAGGGCCGTGGGACACAGCATCGCAAGGATGCTCGACTGGTTGCAGGTAACTGGAGAGGAAAGAGGCCGTCTTCTGTCACGAGCAGCATCTTGAACCCAAACCTTCTTAACAATACATGCACAGGTCAGACTGTGTTCCAGTGAATTTCAGCTGTCTGATCAAAATCTTTGGGATTCAGATTTTCACTGAATTAAGTATTGCTTGAAATACTTGAAAGCTGGGACTTGTGGAGAGCCTTTTACTTCATCTATCTCTGGATTTTTCCTGTTCCTTTATCTGCTGGAAAAACGTTTGCCTTATTGGTCATTACCTGCTGATCGTAGAAACTGATCCCATTCGGTTGGTTGTGAGTGGCCGGGAGCAGCTTGTAATCTTACAAACCTACTGAAGTCTACTATGGCCTCTCAAGTGTGGCTGTCCTGAGAGTGGGTTGGTTCAAACATCGGCAGCCTAATGCTTCCCTTAAAGTATTAAGTGTGAGAAACAGATCCAGAGGTCTTAAATGCACTTGGCTTACGATCAGTGGACTTACCGGGAGGCAGGGGTGCATTGGCAAAGTGATCTGATTATCTGGGCAATTCCAACCAGACCTTCCTTTTGTCCATGGAATCTGATGAAGTATGGCAGAATTCTGGTCATGGTTCTCGGCAGTCCCTCAGTCTTCTGCCCAGGTTGTTGGGTAGAACTTGTGTCCTGAGCTGTGGTGGCAAATTCTCACCTTCTCACCCCCTCACTGGGGGAGTGCCCTGTCAGGGTCCGATTTGAGGTGGGCTTGTGAGGGTATAGCTCCTGAGGCCTCAGAGGGCAGGCGAGGAGTATGCTGTCATAGCCTGTGGCTGGCACTGGCTCCAGTGAGTCTGGTGGCTTTGACCGCCACAGTGCCTCCCCTCCCCCTATTAGATAAGGTCAGAAAAAAACAGAAAACATGTAGGGGAAGGGTCAGGTATGCAGCTTCTAGTCACAACCTGCTACCAGGACTTGACATTTGAAATGCCACCAAGTCCTTTTGACCTCCTCTTACCTGGCTACGTCCCATCTATGTTGTATTAGCAAAGCCAGCTGTGTCCCTGGAAGTCCCTGTCCCTGGGTCCTCCTCATCGTGATTGAACTGAGTGATGACACTGTGCGCTCAGGACCACACTTCTCACTCACAAATTTTTGTGACTCCCTGCAGGAGAAGGATGATTTTTCCCTTGGGAATGTCCACTTGATCGGCTACAGCCTTGGAGCTCACGTGGCTGGGTACACTGGAAACTTTGTGAAAGGCACGCTGGGCAGAATCACGGGTAAGCTCTGCTTCCTCCACCACCAGCTGGTCCCTGACCTCCCTCAGCTCCTCTGACAAGCTGGCTTTTCTGAACCAGAGTGTCTCAAAGAGGCAGCATGAGGGAGCCATAGAGGGTTAGCTTTTGAAGAAACCTGGAGAACAACTAATCCAGAGCTCTTCAAATGTTCTGTTTAGTCACGGAACCTTTTAAAAATCAAACTCGTGCGGCACCCATTATACGAGACAGATCGAATCGGGGATATTCTGGTTGAAGCTGGGTATGTGGTGGGCAGTGTTAGCCTTGCTATTTGGGCCTTTCCTTTCCCCAGAGGAATCGCAGGGTCCCAGAGCACCAGGGAACACTGTTTGAAAACTACAGGTCTGGACCAACAGGCTGGGAAACACCCAGGGACAAACAGCTAATAACTATAGGGGTGGAGTGGCGCCCTGGCCTCCAAGCTTCTGGGGCTCACTTCCCATCTCCACCCAGGATACTCTAGGACAGGGGTTGGCGAACTGCGGCTCGCGAGCCACATGCGGCTCTTTGGGTACGTACATGTGGCTCTGAAGTAAAATTGAAAATGAAAATAAAACTATCGTAGTTTCATTTATAAAATTTTTAAAGGATGTTATTCACATAATGGTGATTTCATTTGTTTTATAGCTCTCGAATAATTTTTAAATTGTTGTGAGGGACAGGATTGGCTCTTCCATCTCAAAAGTTTGCTGACCTCTGCTCTAGGGAAAAGAATGAGTGATGGATTCTACTTTGAATTCTGCCTCTGACTTCTATTTCCCCCGCCAACAGCCTCGTTCCAATGTTTAGCTGGCATATTAATTAATGATAACTACCTCTTTAGAATAGGTGATTAAACCTTGTCTTTGAAGAGACCTTTCTGGTATTGGCACCCAGATTGTCAATAGAAAATTGAGCTTTCTATTTCAGTGAGCTTTTGATGCGAAAGTTTGGACCAAATCATTTAATGATTGTGAAAAGTGGGAAAGATTCTCTTTCCCATTTTAGAGCTCCTTCAGATACACACACGGGGCTTCCTCTAGGCTAAAATGAGTGGCACATTTGTTGCCCTAAACTTTAATTCTTCCAGCATTCTTTTACTTGTCTTTATTCCCAGCTTTCCTCTCACCCCTGACATACTAAGAGCCCAACTGCTCACCTGGAAGGAAAGAGTTGATCGATTTCTTTGTCAGCAGTGGTTTCATTTTGAAACAGGTCTCAGGTAGAAAGGCATCCTTAGCCAAAAAATGATTTAATAAAGCTAGAATTTCAGGTTGTAGCAATAAGCTGGTGGGGTAGATTTAAAAAAAAAATGTATTTGTAAGGTTTCAGTAGCCCTCCTTAAATCATTGTCCTGGGCTTAAGTCTAATGTGCATGCACATACGCAAACACTCTTTTAAATCCCCATGATTTGATTCAGCAGAGCTTGAGAGCTTTATATTTGATTATCAAGACCCAGGGGTCTGAGCGGTCTGAGAGGGCAGTGATCATTTGGCCACGCATGGCTGCTCATTCACTCACTGCCAGTGCAAAGCTGTTCGACCTCCAGCCACTCTGGGTCCTACTTTTGAGCACCTCCTCCTGGTCCCCATGAGAAGCATGAGGTTAGGGTCAGACCAGCCATTCAGGAGGGGGCCAACACACACCAGGCCCCCACCAGAGAGTCACTGGCAACAAGGACAAGCTGCAAAGCCTCCCTTTCCCTGTTTCTGAATCTCAGATCAGATGGGGCTAGTGAGGAGTGAGTGCTCCAGTTCCTCCCCCCGCCTGTTTGGGTGGCAGCTGCTGAGATGTGGGCTTCGCTGGGAGAATGCTAATGTTCTTTGTGCTGTCTGCTGGGAGCATGGGGGCCGCATGTCCTGAGTGCAGCCCCTTCTTTCTGGCCTTTCTCTGTAGAGCAGGGGCCTGGGGTGAGCACGACAGGAAGAAGTGGCCTCTGTCCAGTTGCCAAGCAGCACCTCAGGGTATTTGGCTGACCTGAAGCATGCTGTTGTGCATGTCTGATGGAGGAAGCTTGTGTATTCTCCTCTCCCCTCAGGTTTCTCATGGGCCTGGCTGGGAACCAGGTGGTCCCGACTGGTCAGAGGGCCAGAGACTGGGGGGTCCTGAAGCTTGAAGGGTGCTGCTGTGCAGAGGCCTCAGGGGGTCCTCAGCCTGGAGTCTGCACAGGGATACCTGAATCCCAGTCTTGCTTGGATCAGAGGGCTGTGGACTGGGGTTTGCTGAGAGAAGTCTGTGATGTACTAGGGAAGAGATCATATATTTCTAATTGAATCTGTGTCTAGTTAGCTATAAATAAATAAGCAAACAGATTCATTCATTCAAGAAATATGAATTAAGTGTCTACTCTAACAGGCTCTGGGCTAGACACTACCTAATATCGAGTACCTCATGTATGACAGGTATTTTATGCTATCTCTGAGCCACAGAGCACTCAGGCAGAAGGGGTCCATTTGGCTTCATTTTACAGATTGGGAAACTATAAGTCAGTGCTTAAATAATGGGCCCAAGATCTTGTCCCCTAAGTAGCAGAGCTGGGATTCAAACCCAGCCTGTCAAGGTCCAGAGCCTGCACCTAACCACTGTCCCATATTGCCTCTCTTCTATTAGGAGAGATAAAGTAGCTATTGCAGTGTAGCAGGCTTTGCCCTGCCAGGCAGGAAGTGGAGTCTTTCCTGTGTGAAAGAGCACTTTCGGAGGGGTCTGGCCAAATGCAAAAAGGAGTGCTTCTCCATCTTCTCTCTTTTTTTGGAAAAGATAAGTTCTCCCTCCCATTCCTAATTTAAAAAGTAAATTGTGCAACTTTCCCCGAGTCCATGGGCCCTGGCTATGTGTCAGGCCAGGTCAGTGTGGGTAGGTGAAGGCTCAGCCTGGCCGCCAGCCGGCCTGCCTAGAAGCCCCATCAGCCGCCTGCATTCCTCCAGTGCAGCTTGGTTTCCATGGCACTGACCGTCTGGTGGAGACTTCTGTTCACACCAAGGAAAGAGCCCCCTCTCTCATAATGGTTACAAAACAGAATGTTCCTCTTTCTTTTTTTCTTTTTTCTTTTTCTTCCAGAGGACAGGGTGAGAGGCAGGGAGAGGCCGCTTGTGTCAGCACTGTTGTCCTTGCATTTTTTTTTAGAGTCATTATGGGCAACTCTGGGAGGGCGCTGCTTTTGTGCCATCTTTCTTTTGGGTCCTGGGCTGGGGATGAGCCCACAAGCAGCCTGGGCACCCTTTCTGCCTCCATTTTACATACGTTCATCTAAACTTCTGGAAACGATTTAGACTTTCAACCTCTACCAGTTCTCATGTTTAGACTTTCAACCTCTATCAGTACCACAAGTTTACTGGTCACTCTAGACAATAGCTTTGCCTTTTGTTTATCCTAAAATTCCCCCTCTTAAGCCCCACAATGGGCTCCCGGTCGTATGGCACTGGGTTTTGGGGATCGTGGTTCTATTACCCATCCCCTTCTTTTAACGACACTGTTCTTGGTCCCATCTCCTCCCTGCCTAGGTGTTTCTAGATCAGGGTTTCTCAAGCTCTGCACTATTCACAGTTTCTGCCAGTTAATGCTTTGTTGTGGGAGCTGCCCTGAGCATAGCTGGATATTTATTAGCATCCCCGGCCTCTACCCACTAGCTTCTCGCCCCCTCCCCCCAACTGTGACAACCAAAAATGTCTCCAAACACTGCCACATATTTCCTTGGGAGCAAAATCATCCCCAGTTGAGAACCACTGTTCTAGACTAAACAGACCTCCTTCTGCTGCTGCATACGTTCTTTTCATTACTTTCTCTCTGTGTCTACAGTCCAAGGACCCTTCCAGATTGGTATGAATTCAGCTCCCATAATTACTTGGGCTTGGTAATAGTAGCTAGTATTTACATTGACAAGCACTCACTGTCTTACTATCTCACATGAACTGCATGCATTAAGACATTCAGATTATATTTTATAGATGATACTGAAGCAGAGAGAATTTTCCAAATCTGGTCTACAGGCCATTTACTTTTAGGATCACCTGGGGAATAAATATATTTCTGGGCTTTACACTACCAATCAGAATCTCCAAGGGGTCAGGGAATCTGCATTTTATGGTTTGCAAATTCTTTTTTGAATTGTTGTACATTTATGTGTGTCCAAAATGAAAAGATGGTGAAAGTCTCTCTTATGGTTGCCACTACCTGTCCAATTCCCTTCCCCGCCCTCTCCCTCAGCACACATCCACACAGGTAACAGGTGGCTGGTGTGTCCTTCCAGACTTTTTTTTTTAAGACTTTTTTTTTTATTGGGGATCTGGGTGAAGGGGAACAGACAAATTGCTGTCCTTTGTTCTTCAGTCTAGTTGTGGAGGACGTTGCTTCACTGGCCTAAGTTGGCACCATCATTGTGCTCTTCCTGGGTGAGGCAGATCAGTCGCTGGCTTCTGGATGGCGCTCACGGCGGCTGCTGGCTATACACGATAGCCCATGGCAACCCACTGCAGCAGGGGCTGCAGTCCACGCCCTCCCTCCGGCGACTCACGGCAGCCCAGCTCCAGTTCGAACTGTTGTTCAGCCATCTTAGCTGTAGAGGGAAGTGTCACTGGCCCTCATATGTGGGATCCGAACAGGGGCCCTCTGGCGTCCGAAGCCAGCTCTTAACCACTGTGCCACTCGGCCGGCCCCTTCCAGACGTTTTTGTGGCTTCAAAGTGGAATCTGAATTTGTAACGAGCTCCTCAGTAATATTTGTGGTGTCTCAAATGTGAGAACCAGTACTCTCTACAAAGGTGCTTGCCTATTCAATACAGAAAGTTGGCGGCTGCAAGATAGAGGAATTCTGGAGGCCTGGGATATAGATTCTAGTATATCTGGTGTCCCCGCCCCCCACTCTTGCCGTTCCACCCCGGGGCCTGCTTCATCACTAAAAGAAGAAGGAGATTAAGTCCAAATACAAATAGCTCCTTTTGGAGAGACTGAGTCTTCCCTCCAGAAGATATAGCTGGCTTAGTTATTCTGTAAAAAGGCTGCTAACCTGAGGCTGTGAAAGGCCCTCGGCGGCAGAATAAATGGGGTGAATGGCTCGGTTTCAGGCAGCCTGAGTTCTTTGTAGAGCAGCTTCGGTTCTGACAGTCCGTGGCTGCTCGGAGCTGCGTGTCAGGATGAAGCTTGTGGCTGGTTTGCTGCGTCAGCTGAGGTGTCAGGACAGGTGAAGGCTCCGGAAGACACTGTAGGTTCTTGGGTTGCAGGCGCCATGCTTTCCAGATTCATGGGGCTGGGCTTGGAGGATGGTTTCATTCTGCACATGTGGACTTAACTTTAAGCCAGGACTCGATGACTTGGAGCACCTGACACAATTGATCTTGGCTTCCCCTTGTGCTGTAGGTTTGGATCCTGCTGGGCCCCTGTTTGAAGGGGCGGACATCCACAGGAGGCTGTCCCCCGACGACGCAGACTTCGTGGACGTCCTTCACACCTACACGCGTTCCTTCGGCTTGAGCATTGGGATTCAGATGCCCGTGGGCCATATCGATATATACCCCAATGGGGGTGACTTCCAGCCGGGCTGTGGACTCAACGATGTCTTGGGGTCAATTGTGTATGGAAGTGAGTTCCTTATTTTCTGCTTCATGCAGAGGCTTGACTCAGATATCACATCTCCTTCTAAATCAGGCAGAGGGCTGCTAGAGCTCCCAACCACGTTTGTTATTGGCACCTCCTCGCCACAGTGGCCCTCCAACACTGCCTGCTGTTCCTCATCCTACAGGCCTGTGAATAGCTTTCCAGTGGCCTCTGCCCCGCTTTCTCATACTTTGAGGTCACAGTTATTAATTTCTCTTTCTTTTTATTAATTTTTTTTAAAAATATTTTATTGGGGAATTGGGGGGAGGGGAACAGCGCTGGGGAATCGGGGGGAAGGGGAACAGACAAGTTGCTGTTGTTTTGTTCTTCAGTCTAGTTGTGGAGGATGTTGCTTCACTGGCCCAAGCTGGCACCATCAATGCGCTCTTCCCAGGCGAGGCATATCAGTCGCCGGCTTCTGGACGGCCGCTCACTGCAGCTGCTGGCTGCTCACACTGGCTGCCAGCTACATGGTACCTCATGGCAACCCACTGCAGCAGGGGCTGCAGCCTACGCCGTCGCCGGAAACCCACAGCAGCCCAGCTCCAGGTTGAGCTGTTGTTCAGCATCTTAGCTGTAGAGGGCAGTGTCACTGGCCCTCATATATGGGATCCGAACCGGG